ATTTTACCATTTTTGGATTGAGTGAGAAACTGATTCAAGATTTCACAATTTCAAGGTGTTTGTTTTTTAAGGACTTCCATCAACTTTTTGAACATTAGAATCTAAACAGGATGTTAGCCATAAACTGCTTCATATGTAAAAGAGAGACGAATAAGATTCATTTTGCCTGTTCTGAATTTGAATTCAATAAGAAGTTATATTAGAATGCTTCATCATGGAGTAGGGGTTAACTAACTAGTTAACTGTCTTGAGCCATACTAAGCTAAGCTTAGTAGATATCAAAATAAGAGGTAAAATTACTCCAAGGTCAAAATGGCCATGGAATAATGTTGATTTGCATCTTAAAGAAACAGTTTTGTTGTGTTTCATGTTTTCTTAATGGATTCAATTGATTGAATTTTTTATGGCTTATCAACCTTTTTAATGGATTCAACAATATTAATGTCTATAATCCAACACAATGGAAAATAAATTCATGGCAGGAGAAAATGAGTGCAATATGAAATTATTTTTAATTAGGTGGGAGCAGTGCTTTCAGTTCACAATAGACCCATGGGATTATGCAATTTGTATAAAACTTTAAAATAATTTCTTTTTGCTGTATCAGTTTTAAAGCCAATGTATGAAGATATAAATATAATTTGATAAAAATTCACATAGACAAAAAGTGAAGATTTCTCTATTCATAGCATTATCATAAAGAATAGACTTCAGTCATAGCTGGTTTTATCCCAAGAGAAACATTTGGAAAATTCAATAATATATCCACCAGTGATGTTCTGGGTTTTTTTGGGTTTTTTTTGTTACAGGAAGGGTATCCAGCAGTAAAGACAAGCTTTATTCATAGTTGGCAATGAAAGTCAAGAATACTTAACACACTAAATTATGTATATCACTCACTTTTTGTATATGTTATATACAAGCAATATACTTTTTTTAATATTTTTATTTTTATTTTTGTGGGTTTATAAAGAAAACTGATTATATACAAAGTATGTATACTGGTTACAGTGAACTATTTCCATAAATTGTTGCCATTTTCCATTTTGTCATTACTTTTCGGTTTTATTATAAATATGGTTAAACAAGCAATACCTTGCTTTGTTTTTTTATTGGATAAAAAGATCATGGCCTCTGCCAGTCGAGGTCACAACCAAAAACATAAATAACAATAAAAAAAAAAAGATCAGCATATAATAAAAGTTTTTTTTTTTCCCTTCTTTTAAATTAGAAAATTTCAGCAAAAGATCTCAGAAACAAGCAAGAGGTAGACATACTGTCAATTGGAAAAATTCAAATTTGGTAATGCAGAGAGATCACTGAGCAGACTCATAGTGATATAAACAATCTGATTGGTTAATAATTCTCCAATGACTTCAACAGTCCTTAAATTTGTTCAGCAGCTGTTATGTCATGAGTTGTGATCTGAGGACTGTTACTTGATGGGTTTTCAAAAATACATATGCAATAGATCAAGTGGTTTTCTTATTTGAACCAACTCATCAAAGATGGTCATATTTTTTTGATTTTAAGAGATGTAAATACAAGGATGGGTCCAATTATTTAAAATGATTACCGTTTCTACTACCTACAGGGTAAATAGTAACAATTTTAATCGGTATATATCATCCAGCACAATATTCACACAAGATGTTTTCACACAAGTTATGTTTGTCTGTAGAACTGATATACATTTTAGATGTGTATATGTATAAGATTGTAAATATATAGGTGAGTATGTGTCTATATGCATTCATATTGAAATATATTTGTATGTGTATAAATATGTGTCTATAAATATAGCAGCATGTAGACATACACAGGCAATTTGGTAATTATTCCATCTTTTATCAGGTGAAAGAGAGAAATATGAATGAAGGGTACATAGGAAAAGAAAAGGTGTTAGTCATTTTTACTTCATATTTTAAATATATACTTTAAAAAGAAAACCAAAAAAAACCTTTTTCCATTTTCAATAGACTTTCCAAAATTGTAGAAAACAAGTACAAAAATAGCCACATAAAGAAATTATAACATTTATAAAGTTAAAACCATTTTAAAAATGATCTGAAGCAGACAATTAGCCCACTTTTCTACGGAATGACAACTGATCACAAAGCGTGTAATGTAAAATATCTCCCAAGAGACAAATTTCTATTTGACAGTTTTTGATTATAATCGTTCTACTTGTGAATTTTCTGAGAGTCTATCCAAATTTTCTTTTCTTTTCTCTTTGTATCTGTTTTTCTCATAGTGTAAAATTAATGATACTGAAAGTTGTCTTTTAAAATGTATTTCAGTAATATGAGGTCAGGTAAGAAAGACTTTTTAACATGTGTTTTTGACAATTTATAGAAAATAAAAGGGCTGATGATATATCTGGTCTAATGATAATGAGAAATGGATACAGGTCAAGAGAGAGACTGGGTAAAGAGAATAAAAATCAATTATAGTAGCAGAAAGTGATGAAATGATTGAAGAGATGGAGAATTGGACATGAGAAGAAGTAACAAAACATTCACATTTTTTTTTTTATACATCTACAGTAAAAGAAAAAAAAAAACTGACCCTCCTTCCTTTCTGTTGATACACTTCGATCATGCTCAACAGTTTCACCTGAAGAAATCTTATAAATCTAGAAATTTCAAGGATTTGTCTTTTTTTGGTTAGAATAATCTACTCTGTCTTTGTGGTTCCTTTTTCTTTTTTTAGCCAAACATCTTAATCAACAATTCCAGATTTTCTTCAAACATCCACATATTAAGTTTGCTAATATGAAACACAAATGATGGGAAATTTTATCTTGTGTGTAAAAACAAAGTTTTGTAGTCATTTCCCATTCTTTGCTGCTTCTCGATTAGCAAATGGACATCTAAAGACCAACAACAAAGAGTAGTAGATTAATTCATCACAATTACCCGCATTTTCTCCAAAATTCAAATATTTTAAAAACTTTACTTCTTGATGCATTTAGGATCAGATCATAAATCATATGACATTTCCTCATATATGAGTTGGAAGAAGAATGATTGATATATTTATTCTAAATGCATTAATTTATATCAAATATGGTTGTCTCATGATAATTATAGTCATAAATGAAAATGATTACACATCAAGGTGAGTGCACTGCCATCCATTTCTGATACACACACTTATATATGCATTGTGTACACACTAATATATGAAGAATGGAGCATGTTTGTTTCTTTAACTATGAAAAAAATAAAATCAGATTATGGTTAAAATTTTGGGTTACTTTTATAATCTATAGAAAACTTCTGCACATAGTTTAAACTTTATACAATTATTGTTGAAAATGTCTTTTTAGATGAGCAATTTTATTTTTATCATCCCACTTAACAATATGTTTAGTAATAGCTCAATGCTTGCAATAAAAGAATGAGCACTGTAAGGTCTCCCTTTTTAAAATCATATTTCTCCTCCAAACTTGGCAAGAAGTGTCACACAATTTGTATAGAGACAAAATATCTTCTAAACATTGACGGTGAGAGGATCTTTAGTTTACTAAAAAAAAAAACTGCCATTATAAAATATGACTGTCCAATATAAAAGATGATAATAGATGCACTGGAGATACGATGATAAAAAGCATTTGGTTCATCACTTAGTAAAACTGTTATAATGACTTTAGCAAATTAGTTGAAATGCCTTACTAATCAACTCAAGAGATTCTGATTTTAAAATCTTCACTGCAAATAATTCTGGTTTTTAAGTAGATTTATTGTTCTAATTCAAAAGAAAAAGTACATTTTTTTTTTTTTAACAAAGTTTACCCTGGTGGAAATTCAATGGAATCATATCTGTTAGATTTCAACTAACATATATATATATATATATATATATATATATATTTCCATTAGTTTCTATCAATTCAAGTCAGTTTCTTTTTTCTAAACTTTGTACTAGGATTATTTTGCTAGTGGCTTTACATTCAGGAATATTTTAAACGGAGTAAATACCAGTTCCTTTCAATAAGGTAAGAAAATTGTAATTCTGTAATATGAAGGATTTGAACATTATAGTATATAGATCAACAGGTAGTGTAACAAACTTTGACAAGATGATAAGGGAGAATCAATCCAGTCCAAATATTGTGATAAGTCTTTACAAAAATTAAAACGTACGACTCTTAAATAATAAATTTTGACATCAACTTTATCGAAATAAAAGATCCCAGAAATAATGGTTTCTTTCAATCTTTACTAGCTTTGTACAGTTCTTTTTGATCTTTTGCATGTTGTCATCTTGCTTTCTTATATAAAATACAGAGATTAAATTTTCAGTATGCACAGATGTTTTCATAGATTGTAACCTAGTGTAAATTTAACTCAAGAACAAACACTTCTTCAATAAGAGAATAAATAGAACAATACATTAAGTGTTGCTACCAGTGAAAATGACGTTCAAGGAATAATGGATGGTATTGAAAACTCATAAAGTGAATGTCATTTCAAAGAGACTAGATGCAAAATGATCAGCAGTTCATTTCAGACCATTTTTTCAGAAGAACAAGGAAAATGAATCAAAATGGCTGAATAGGCTTATGAAGCTTATTAAATAGGATGTTGTTGATTTGCAAGGGACTTCTTTAATGAGTAGCAATGGGGTTTCATCTAAAAAAGAAAAAATTATTGTTATAAATATTTTTCTACAAAAATAGACTGGAGATGATTTGTAAATTCAATGCTTTGATCCAAACAGTTGGACAAGATAATGAAGGGATTTTAGTAAGAATTGCTAAAAGGTCTGGAAAAAAAAAAAACCTAAGAAAACAAAAATGATTCATTGTACAAATAAAATATTATTGGTGAATTGTTGATTTTAAGAGATTGGCCCGACTCCATTTGAACATCTAGTGAATGGAGAATCAACAAAGATATAAAAACCTATTGGTAGAAATTTTAACTCATCTCACAATTACAGTATGTTGTTCAGCTTTTTATAGGCTTGATTTTACAAACACAAAGGAAAAGGGCTTACGGTCACATCACATTGAAACACTGGTTCCTATACAATCACCAAAGTTAAGCAATGTTAAGCCTGGCCAGTACCTAGATGAGTGACTGTTTGGGAATACCAGGTGCTGTAAACTTGGATGTATGAGTGGTATAATGGATAATGACTTGAAATTGTTAATTGGAGAGCCGAGTTTCAATTCCAGTTGGGTTTATTATATTCGCCTACATGCAAATACCCTTGGGAAGCGTATGAATCCACCTCTTCTCCCTTCCCTCAGCTATGGGTTAATTAGTAAGACTTGTATTACTAAAACCATTATTATCTAAAAACAAAAATTCTTACAATCTAAAAATATTTTCAGGCTTTAAATAACCTGCAAAGGGTTGATAAGCCATAAAAAACAAATCCATCAATCAATCAAAGGAAAAGACAAGATGATTTACAATTAGCAAGCTCCATTTTAAACAGTATGCAAAAAAAAAAAAAAAGCAACAGTAAGGATGAGGGTAATTTCTTTTTTTTTTCTTTTTTTTTTTTCTTTTTTTTTTTAAAGAAATTCACAAATACTAATGATGATGCTAGTTCAAAGGAACTTATGAGAAATAATGATGTCTGATCTCAAAGAAAGAACAAAAACCAAAAACAAACAAAAAAACAACCATGGTATTATAGTTGCTTGTATATGACGTCGCTGTCAGAAATGACTTTACCATTGTTGTTGTTGTTCATACTGCTGTTAGGATCATTGTTGGTGGTGCTGCTGCTACTGTGGCCATAACCATCAGCCTGACCACCAACATTACTGTTTTGTACCGATGCTGCTGCAGCCATCTGCTCCACAAGATGGGTCTTCTCGTGGCACTTGAGCAGTGACTTGTAGATATAAACCTTGCCGCAGATATGACAACTGAGTGGCTTGCCATCGACGTGCCGCTTCATGTGAGTCTGCAGGTTGCCTTTCTGACTAAATGCTCGGTGGCATACCTCACACGAAAAGGGTTTGTCGCCTGTGTGACGGCGCATGTGTACCTGCAAGTTGCCCTTCTGGCTGAACAGCCTGTCGCACACACTGCACCGAAATGGCTTCTCCCCGGTGTGGGTCCGGCTATGGCAGCGAAGGCTGGAGACCTGCGAAAATGACTTGGGGCAGAGGTCACATGCAAATGGCTTTGCCCCAGTGTGGATGCGCTGGTGGTTGATCAGTGACATTTTCTGTGAGAAGATTTTGTGGCAGACGTCACAGGTGAAGGTCTTTGAAGCTGATGCTGATGGGTGGGCTGTTTGGCGATGGCGCTTAAGTTGGTCATACAATGGAAAGATGAGTTCACATGAATCACAAGGGAACTGTCGTCCAAGCGGGAAATCTGGGGATTGCATACAATACATAACCCCGGGTGGGGGTTCAGGATTACGGTTTGGTGTTGCCACGCGGGAGGCAGAGTTGTGAAGCGGGGTGTTTGGCGTACTGACAGGGCTATGTTGTTGGTTGTTCGGATGATGCGTCTGTTGATGGGGTTGAGTGTGGAGGTGGCTGGGATATTGATGGGGATGTGGGTGTGTGGGACTTGTATTACTGGTAGGAAGATGTGTGTAATTGCTGGTGGTGATGGTGCTGGTGGTAGGGTTATTGACGGACGTCTTCAGATGGATCCTGAAATTACAGAAATGCTATGGCAGTGACATCAATTGAAATCCAATGTACCCATATCTAAAGGAGGTTGGAGAATGACAGTTAAAAATATAAATAAAATAAAATGGTGCCAGTGTTTCAAAAGGATGGTCTTTTATTATTTTTCCAAACATTATTACATTTAAGAATTGTTTATAAATGATTTATAACAGAAAATTGTTAAAAAATGATTTGCAGATAAAAAATATGTATTGGAAGTCAATAATGACAGAAAAAAACTGCAAATAATTTACAATAAAAATGCAATATAAAACAGTTATTCTAGAAGTAGACTTGCAGAGATTAGGTTAATACAATTTATTGCATACTGTAAATAATTTAGAACAGAAATTATTTACTGCATAAACAATATTTGAAATCTGTTATACTGAAAAATGTTTTAGGTTTTCATAAAAATCTTTGGCATTTTCATGTTTTACATTTTATATGAAAGCAATAAGAGATTGACTGTTAGCACAGACACAGAAAAGTTTATAGAGTAAAGTCTCCATTTTAAAACTAAGGAGTTCATGTACAATAAATAGCATTAATATATTTAAATATTGACTTGTTTTACAATGCTTCAAGATCTTAGTTTAAAATAATAATTAGAATAATAATTACAAGGAGAAAATATTGCTACAACTCTGTCCTATGCAGCTGCTTTAACATTTGAAATGGCCAAAAAAATCTGTATTATTGTGCCAGAACAATGAAGTGTCTATAAGAAGACAAGATCCAGACATTTTACTTGATTGTAAATAAATCTATTAAGTGGAAAACATACAAGACTTTGTCTTTTTTATAAATGCATAAATGAGATAACCTAACAAGACCCCTCCAAAAAAGGCTATGTTAGTTTCAAAGACAAAATAAATGTATGTATGTATGTATGTATGTATGTGTGTAAATGTATGAATATAGACATATGCATACAAATTCAAACAATAATAAATAAAAATGTAATTATAAACCTAACCTTTAACCATTAATATTCTAATAGTACTTAAGATACCACCAAATCAGATAAGAAAATGAAATAATGGACAAGTGAAGACATATATAAATATTTACTTTATTTAAGCATTAAAATTAATTATTTACAATTTTCCTAACTCAAGAAAACACTAGAATGCTCAAGAATTAACAACAGTATATGTCTAGAAAACTAAATGTCAAAATGGCTACAATTGAAAGAAAAGAAAAAAAGAGATGGAAAGTTCAGGAATGAGTGTAAAGTGAAAAAAAAAACAACAAAAAGACAAATAACCATGACATTCTACATGTATGCACAGATGGGCATACCCACATGAACACATACGCTATGAAAAAAAAACTTGCACCAATGAAAAGAGTATATAAAAAAGAAATATTGAGAAGTATAAGCAGTCAAGTGCTGATACCCCTTGACGAGTTGATGGACTGATTCCCAGAGGGTCCATCTACAAAACTCTGGAGTCAGGATGCTGAAGGTAATATCAATCAGCTAAGTGACAAACCTTTTATTTGTATTAATTTTATATATAGTATGAGTAACATTGACAGAGTTCAGTTATATATTTCATTATCAAATTTTTAAAGTGTGTTGTTTGAATTTTACCCAAGGTCTTAAAATATGGAGAATGATACTGAGAGACTCTCCACACGATATGTTGGCAGAGGTTCCATGATAATTTGGAATTAGAGCTGTCTGTCCTTGAAACTGGTTTTCAAACAAGGCTAAAAAGCTCAGTCTCTCCTACTATTTACTGATAATTGGCTGGGGAGGAGATAACAGTGGTTCATGTCTTTTACCAAAGGCATTTACCTAAATAGCTTACACATACACACAAATTTAATAAGTGAGCAAGAAAATATTAGTGTACTAAAGAGAAAGCACTCCATGTAAAACAGAATAAAGAAATTTGAGATTCAATATAACAAACTTTTCTGCATACATACCCCTCGGCTACAGTAACTGCATGAAACTGGCACTGGTGGGGGGGATGTGTGCAGAAAAGTTTGTTTATACATATATTATTTGTATAATTATACTTTATATATTTATCAGTGATTTTTAACAAAGATCCAAGATTTTTGGTTTTTGCACTGAAACAAATTTGATCCATTCTGATAATTAAACATAAATGTCTAACTTTTTGTTTTCAACTCATATATAATAAATCATAAAAATCCAAATTGCAATTGCAGTTATAAAAATCTTATTAGGAAAGACATTTTAGAACAAAGCCAGAAATAAGTGTCAATCTATAAAAACAAGCTTTTTTTTTTTAATAATATTCACCCAATACAAGGCCCAAGAGCCATTCAAGGTAGAGGGTTAATGTGTGGTGCTGTATGAGCATAAGAAACTCACATCTGTATTTATTTAAAGCTGATTTTTTTTTTTAATTTAATGCTTTCATTATCAAAGACTATAGTTATCTATTTTTTGATGATGATTGGAGATTCCTAAATTCCTAATCAAAACATAAAATTTGGCTTCATTGCATCATGAATTTAGCATACAAACTTTTTTTTTTCAAACAAAATATCTTACTTTCTACCCTAGAATAACTTAGGAACTTTTTTTTTTAACTTATCTCTTCATAGCTGTTCAATTCACATTTCTCTTCAGGTTTATGCTAAATTATTTTTACACTATTTAATAGTTTTGATTTTTCTATTTCAAACTACACAACATTTGGCATTAAAAAAAAAGAAAAACAAGACTAATCTCTAACAGTCACTGTCTTACTAATAAACTAGCAGTTAGCTATATCTACCTATTTATAAAGATAAGCTGAAACACCCAACCATTGTCTTTACTAATTGTTAAGACAAAGACATGAATATGCGGAAAAAAACAAAAAGAATTTCCTTAAATATATGTGATCTCAAAAAATATAAAATTTTCTTGAATGTAAATAAACTAAAAGTGGAGACTTTAGGAAGCAGGTTGAATTGTACCAACTATAATAATAAAGAAAGATTCCGTGTAACTTACATTGGAACTGTTTGACTGGAGACTGTATAAAGGAAGAAGTATCTCAGGAAAATCAATTTCCTGGTTTGTTACATCTGAAAAGGAATAAAGAAAATAAAATAATTTAAATAAATTGTAAATATTAAAACAGAATTATTTCACCACACTTTAACTCTCAATGTATTGTTGCCAATAATTGCATCTCCTAAAATGTCAGAAGTCCACTGGGTATGTTTTGTAGATGCTGAAGTTTTCTAATTTCTATCAGTGAAAGTTCTGTCGCTCTATGATCTTCAATTTTCAAGATGCAAAAACTATGAATTGTCATAATTCAAAAGTAGTTAAATAGTACTAAGTGGGAGTAATGACTATGACTAATTTATAAAATTTTGGGATTACCAATGGTTTGCAAAATTTCATTATGTTAATTACTAAGTTTTGGATTTTCATATAAATACAGTCACTCTTAAAAGTTCTGTGGTCTTTCTATGTTGAATAAACAGTAAAAGTTTTGTTTTATATATTTACACTAAATATATTTATACTAGCTAATCCCTGTGAAGGAAGTCATGGATATATTTGAAAAGTCATATTAACTTTTTTATGTATTAAAATAGATTTATGTCCATATCTTATCTACCTACTCAAATGTACCCACATTTTAATCTTCATTTTAATGACATTGTTGGAAGATAAACCCTACAACAAATAGAAAATTTGAGTCTTCCACTTCAAAGTACCATTTAAAAGCTTCATGATACACAAAATATCTCTGTTATGAGAAATTATTTCAATTGATTTGGTCTTTATGGCTTATCATCTTTTTCTGGGTTTTATTTAAAGCTGAAATATACTTTGGATTGTATGAGGTTGCTTACAGTAGCCAGTATTCCTAGGTAGTTTCCCATCTAAGTACTGACCCTCTTCCCAAAATCTGACCAAATGACCAAACAGATTTTTTAGGGAAATGCTTCTTACCATGAAAGTATTTATAGAAAAGACATAGAGAGGCAACCTTATGGCAGTGAGAAAGTGACTGGAGCTGAGCTGCTAGATCAGGATCAATAATATTGCAGACTCTTCTTGGGATCTTATCAAGGAGCTCAAGGTAAATATTAGGGGCACCTGACCATATGTGGCAGCAGTATTCTAAGCATGGATGAATAGTAGACTTATAGATATATAATATAGATTCTGGAAAGAAAAATTCTCTTGCCTGATATAGTGAACCAACTTTCTTAGCAGCTGACCTAGCAATGGATTCAGTATAGTCTTTCCACTTCATTTTAGCAGAGAACGTGAGCCTGAGAAGGTGCAACGAGTCACTTTCTTAGCATCAGCCATGCTAAAAGAAGGCAAGGAGTCCCTCAGATAATTAATTAATTCTGGTTTAGGTTGATTAATTTTCAGCACCCCATTCACTATATCACTGAAAAACATTGGAAATTTGGTATTATTTCATGTCTCACTTCCACCTCACACAAGATATACTATTTAATTAACATACCACAATTACCAATGAATCAAATTTGCTTTGTAATTGTTGGTCAAGCTGGGAGACAATTTTTTAAAATATTTAAATTACTTACCCATTATAATAATAAGTTAAAGAACAAACAAGAAATGTTTATCAATCTAACATGTTTCCCTTTTATTAACCCTGCGTTATTCACCTTGGATTTCCAAAAATGGATAATCCTCTGGCATCTGCCTCCCATGACAACTGTGTTACACACTCTCACTGAGTCAGGA